CAGCTATGCTATACTTTAAGACTTGTAGACTTCAACTCCCAGAATTCTCCAGTCAGCTATGCTATACTTTAAGACTTGTAGACTTCAACTCCCAGAATTCTCCAGCCAGCTGTGCTATACTTTAAGACTTGTAGACTTCAACTCCCAGAATTCTCCAGCCAGCTGTGCTATACTTTAAGACTTGTAGACTTCAACTCCCAGAATTCTCCAGCCAGCTATGCTGGCTGGAGAATTCTGGGAATTGAAGTCCACAAGTCTTAAAGTTGCCAAGTTTGGGGGCCTCTATTGTGGGAGATGCAGTTTGGATCATAAAGGGGTGCCATACTTTGCTGTTATCTGATGTGTATCTTCAAAGGCCCATTTAGATTCCAGAACCAAACTTATTAATTTAATTTACTTGCTCTAATCAAGTGGTCCTGTCATACTCCAGTCTCCTTTAGGGAGGATAATTAGATGATTAGACCATTCAAGGTGAATTAGGAGGCAAGTCAGGATGAGGTAGCACCAAGGAGATATCGAAAGAACTTCTTACCGGAATAACGTGGGGCCAAACACAATGGCCAGATTCTCCAGGGTCATCTGATTCACATCACTCTTTGCAGCCACCTTGGCGAGAAATCTAATGAGGAAACAAGCAAGGTGGCTGTGGGCTTCCGGAAGGCTATTTAATAGCCTTTTCAGACATCTTGTTTGCTCTACGGTGCAGTTTTTATTCGCTGGGAAAGATGGGACAATAATGATTAACAGAGAAAGATTAACATCAGTTAGAATTTGTTCAGCATTTCATAAGTGTTGACTCTCAAGGCTTGTGCTCAAAGCCTGGCTGAATTAGGGCTCTCCAGAGATGGCAGCTGGCACGTCCTAAGCAAAGAATTGCACGCAGGGCTCCTGCATACATTTGATACGGAGTGGCCTCCCTTCAAGGAAAGGATGGAGATTTCATTCCCCACAGATGCCTTTAGGGGGATTATTGGGGAATTGGCGACCAAGGTCCATGTTTAGAGAGCACTGCTGGTCTTTGAAATATGCAAGGCTAAAGGAAGTGAACAAGGGTTTAAAAAAAGACAATATCACCAAGGGAAGATGGGTTAAGGTTTGGAATTTTAGTAAATGTAACAATAAGCCAGCATGTAGAAATGGGCATGAATTTAAATTCTTGTTTGTGGCCCAGAATAATATTTTTGTTATGAAGTTATTATTATATGAGATTTCCAAATACAAACTGTAGCCTTGACTCATAAAACACCAGATTTAATTCAAATTGAAATTGGAAGAGGAGGAGGAGGAGGAGGAGGAGNAAAAAAAGAAATAGATGGTTTTCACCCTTCCTGCAAGGAACATTAAAAACCAATCCTCCCCCTCCCCCCCGACTTTATTCATTGTGCTCATTACTGCATTTGGGTGACTGTGCACTCCAGAGAGATATTAAGTTAGATGAAGGGAGATTCAAAGTCATATCTTGAACTGGTACAACAGTGGGTGTTCCAACACTGGAGGCCTCCAAGAGACTGGGCGACCATTTGTTTGAAATGGTGTAGGGTCTCCTGCTTGAGCAAGGGTTGGACTAGAAGACCTCAAAGGTCCCTTCCAAAACTCTTATTATTCCAGGTCTATCCTGAGAGGCCCTTACCTGGGGCTGCTCTTCTGTGGGGGAGAAATTGTTGTTGGAGCCCTCCGGAAAGAGGTCCATGTGGTGCCAAAGCATATGCAGAAGCATGGCATTGCAAAGAGTTTGCTTTTCGTATGCCAAAGGGCTGCAAGGAATTCTAGAAAATACACACCAAAATGATACTTATAGTAGGAGTAAGAAGGAGGAGGACAAGGAGGGTGGAATGCCATAAGTTTAATGTTTCCCAAACTCAGTTTTGCTTAAAAGTGTGAAGATGCTGTTCAACTCTGCTTTGGCCTCCTTTGCTTTATACCCAATGTGACTAAAAAGGCTCATTTTCTTGAATGGAAAACACCCCAGTGATGATAGGGAAATAAATGAATGAATTTGTTAACAAGGTAAAAGCTAAAGGTAAAGGTTCCCCTCGCACATATGTGCTAATCATTCCTGACTCTAGGGGGCGATGCTCATCTCCGTTTCAAAGCCGAAGAGCTAGTGCTCCCCAAAGACGTCTCCATAGTCATGTGGCAGGCATAACTAAACCAAAGATGCACGAAGCACTGTTATCTTCCCACCAAAGACAGTTCCTATTGCTCTACTTGCATTTTTACGTGCTTTCGAACTGCTAGGTTGGCAGAAGCTGGGACAAGTAACAGAAGTTCACTCCATTACGCGGGGCTAGGAATTTGAACTGTCAAACTGCCAGCCTTTCTGACTGACAAGCTCAGCATCTTAGCCACTGAGCCACTGCACCCCTTTTTGCTAACAAACATTTTCCATTTAATAGCAATAGTGCTTACACTTATATACCGCTTCACAGTGCTTACTTTACAACACTCTCTGTGTGGTTTACAATGTATACATTATTTGCATCTTTCCCCCAACAATCTGGGTCCTCCTTTTAACAACTTCAGGAGGATGAAAGGCTGAGTACAACCTCAAGCCCCGTCAGGATTGAACTCCAGACTGTGTGCAGAGTTAACCTGCAATGCTGCGTTCTAGCCACTCTGCCATCATGGCTTCTTTTGATCCCAATATTTGATCCCAACAATAAGACACATTACGATGTTTGGCTTTGCTATTGATTCTTGCTATTGATTCTTGTTATTAGAGAAAATACAAACAATCTAGATGTTGTGGGACAGAGATCCCCAAATTTGGCAATNCTTAGAAGTTAAGCAGAATTGGACCTGGTTGATACTTGCATGGGAGAACCTCAGGAAATTCTGAATCTAGGGTAGCCTGGTCACTTGGTGGGGTAGCAATGAATATCCTAGAAAAGATACCCAGATGTTATGCTAATGTCCAGGCCTACAAAGATCCACGTAGGCAATGATTTTCCATGTGACTCTTCTTAAAGAAGCAGGATAACAAGAGTATTGATGGTTTTGAACTTGGGTGTGGGAGGAAGCTCCTCCAGAAATACTATGGGAGCCAAGGAAAAGTCACATAATTCATCAGGCAAAATGTGGCATTCACACTTGTGGAGGCACAAATGGTTTGATTTAAATTATAATTATATTTTGGGCACATTATGTGAAGTCTACCATGATGGAAAAATGGAAGGCAAGCAGAGGATAACTACCAGGAGAATAGATGGGACTGAGTTACAGCATCATGGCGAGACCATTGAAGGATGAAAGGTTACATTGATGAGAGAGGGCCTCCCAATAGAGCTGCTAGGAGTTGACATTGACTTGGTGATATGTATTAAATCAACAAGCAAGACTAGATTAGGATTTTTTTTAAAAAAAAAATCCTGGCAGAAGGCAATGGTGATCCACTTTCATATTGCTGCCAAGAAAATCCCTTGGGTCTGTCTGTAGCGTTTCCTTGGATTAACATCACTTGAAAGGTTTCTCTTTTAGATGTGAAAGGCATTGTTCCCAATGGATTGTCTGGGCCCAACCCAAGCAAGCTGAGAGCACTCTGAGAATCACCCAAAAGAAGGACTTGGGAAGAGTTTAGGCATAACATTTTGAGAGTCTCATTTAAGGCAAGTTTTTCTACAGCTCTGAATCAGAGGTGGTATTTAGTAGGTTCTGACCAGTTCTGGAGAACCGGTAGCAGAAATTTTGAGTCGTTTGGAGAACCAGTAAACGCCTCCTCTGACTGGCCCCACCCCAATCTATTCTCTGCCTCCCGAGTCCCAGCTGATCAGGAGAGAATGGGGATTTTGCAGTATCCTTCCCCTGCCATGCCCACCAAGCCATGCTCACCAAGCCACGCCCACAGAATCAGTAATAAAAAAAAATTGAATCCCACCACTGCTCTGAATCCAACACAAGGCATCATCCTGTCTGTCTGTGATTCCTCACCAGCAGACCAGAAGAAACAGGATTCATACCAACATTTGAGGGGTTTCAGAAAAGTTTAGTTCTCTTCCTCTGTTCAATGATTTGGCCAAAGAGATTAACCTTGTCACATACTTTGAAATTTTTCTGCTTTGGCTTAGTGCTATTGGAGATCTACTCTACCAGCAAAAGTCTTCCTTTGAAAGAGAGGGAAAAAAAGATTATGTCAGGTTAAAGAAAACTTCAATCTGACAGATAGAGAAAGAAGAAAAGGCATCTCAGAAGTACATAATGAATGTGCTATTTTTGATCTATCCAGGCTAGCCTTGAAGTGGAGGTGCAGAACTTGCTAAAGGAGAGAAAAAAGAGGATTTCATCCTTGTGTTGCCTTAGCAACAATTCGATGCTTGGTCTCTTCCTGCAAAGGTTGTCAAAACAAGCCTGTCTATATCCCAGGGCTTCTGATGAGAAGAGGCATGCAGAGGAAAGCAACAGGGAGGCGGGAGGAGAGAATTCAGCCTTGGTGGCTTATTCTCCGGACACTGACTCCCTCTGCCCCTGACTTGTTACAGCTGAAGGAAGCACCCCCTCAGCCCCCAATTCTAAGTGAAAAACTCAGACTTTCAAATCTTGCTCCAAAGGGGCAAAAAGGAGCCTTTGACCACTCCCTGACCTCTGCCTCAGTTTGTCGAATATTATCTTCGAATTTATTGCAGCTCTGTTATGACAGGGGTATGTGGCAACCATTCATTATCTTAGAGCTGTGATGGTGAATCTATGGCATGTGTGCCACAGGTGGCACATGGAGCCAGATTTGCTGGCATGCCAGCTGTCAGCTTCAGCATACATGCGCATACCGGCTAGCTGATTTTCAGCCTTCCGAGTGCCGGGGAGGCCGTTTTTGCCCTCCCCATGGTTCAGGAAAGCCTCAGGAGTCTGAGGAGGGGTTGCGCACACATGTGCAAGTGAGTGGGGAAGATTGAATTGATGTGGGCATGCATGCATGATTGCTGGCGTGCATGCATGTGTGATAGTGCGCGCACACACAATTTTGGCATGCCGTAAGGAAAAGGTTCGCCATTGCTGGCTTAGAGTATCTGTTGCATGCCTGAAGAAACTGTGGGCAAATGCAAAACTGTGTATCTCTATTGTTGGCAGGAGATCCATCCTTCAAGGTTTGCCAAAAGATCGCCTTGGGAGACCAGCTTACACCAAATCTCCCTTCCTCTCCTTTGTCACGTTGGTTCAGGTTGTCTTGTGTTTTCTGCCATATTGTTACCTCAAGAACTGTCAGCCTTTGAGGCAGACCAGGTCAAGGCTCGGACACTGCAAGCACTATGGGAACTCTGCTTCATTCCTAACAGAGTATAAAAACCAAATCTTGGAAGCCTGGCAGAGTCTTTCTTTCCTCTTTTATGCTAAAGAGAGTGAAGATTGCCAAATCTTGGGTTTCTTTCTCACATACTTTCAAAGCTAAAGCAGTATTTCCCTAACAATTATTGAATTTCTTCTTCAAAACGTCTTCTACTCTCCTCTACAAAAATGACCCAAACGGAACTAAGGAACGAGTGGGGAAGCACTAGGCTGCCATTGTGGCATTCATCCCCTCCAGAGGTGGTATTCAGCCAGTTCTGATAGGTTCAGGAGAACCGGTAGGGGAAACTTTGAGTAGCTCAGAGAACCGGCAAATAGGCTGGCCCCGCCCCTGTTGCCTCCCAGCCTCCCAGCTGATCTTCTTTTGTTGCCCTGAACAGGAGAACAGAGCTGGAAAGCAGGTTAGTAGGGGAGGAGAGAATGGGGATTTTGCAGTATCCTTCCCCTGCCACTCCCACAAAGCCATGCCCACAGAACCAGTAGTTAAAAAAATTGAATCTCACCACTGATCCCCTCCCTTGCCCAATTCCTTCCATGTCTATTCTTTATTTTGGCAACGTATTGTGGATTGTAAAGCTGAGGTAAAATAAATAGACTTTTCATGGCATGTCTTTCACCCCAAGGGAAAGGAAGTCTGAGCCTCAATCACAACTAAAAAAGCAGATCAGGGAGCTGGAGGGAGAAATCCTTCCCTCTGTTCCTCATTCTGCTGGGCAGCTTTAATAGATCCCCTTTTATATTTTCTGAAGAACTCTGTGCAGCTGGGGGGCGGGGGGACAAGAAGAACCCTGAGAAGCAGAGAATTGCAGAAGCAGCTCTTGAGTGTGGCATTTATAGAGAGTTCTTCTCAACTTGTCCAGTAAAACTGTGATAAGCTTTTAAGTTATTTGTTTTGTTGTTGGGAGATTGCAGGGGAAAGGATAGGGTTTGTTTTGGGTGTTTTCATTTCTTCCGAATTTGGTCTAAAAGGGCGGTAGCTATCTAAAGATCAGCCTACTTGGCAAAACATAAAATAAGAGTTGTAGAATAAATAAAAACAGGGAGGAATGAAACCCGATAGGAAGGATTCCTGTCCAAAAAGGAGGAGAAAGAGGAAGTCATATTGCCATTGTAGGTTGGTTGTTTGTTTGCTTGTTTGGTAGTTTCCCAGGGTCATTAAAAAGAGATTTGTTCCATGTTCTAATACTTCAAATGGAAAGGATACATTAGATAATTTGTCTTCTGTTTTCAAAATGTTATCAAGGGTTCTCCAAAAGATGCACAAATTATGTAAACTGTAGACATTTTTAGCAAAATGTCTGTTTGAACTCTGTGTAGGGCTTGCACAGTATTTATTTGAAAACAACCGTTTTTTTCAGGTACTATAAATCAGAACGAAGGATGCTTGACTTGGAAACTGACAAATTTGCCCCAGAAAAGGATTAATGGTTTGCAAATCACAACCTCAAACTGACCCTGTTTTCCCCGTAGCTGTGAGCTGAAAGATTAAAAACACAACATTGCCACCACATGGATGGAAGGCGCCAGACAGCTCTGGGCATCCTTTGTGGAGGTTCATTTTCCTCTGTCTGTTGTTGTGCAAGCTCTTGAGGTGGCGAGGCAGGATGGGAAATCTGTGGAGAAGCAACAAGTGTTTAAAAAAAAAGCTAAAGGATGGAGGAGGTGGGGACCATTTTCAAAAGAAACGTGTAATTGTTGAGGTAGAAGATCATACATGGCCAGAGAATCCATTAAAACCCCTGTGCCTTTATTCTAGAATGCTGCTTGGTATCTATGGGGATTCTCTGTCATCCAGGTCATGATTGCCCCAAAGGTGCTTTTAAAGAGGCCACTGGACTTTCTTTGTTTTTCCTTGAAGACCTTTCACTTCTCGTCCAAGAAACTTCTTCTGTTCTGAACTGAAGAAGCTCCTTGGATGAGAAGCGAAACATCTTCAAGGAAAAACAAAGTCCAGTTGCCTCTTTAGAAAGCACCTTAGGAAGGTCTCACTTTGTAAATGGCTGTCCAATGAGTTGTTCTACAGCTCCTTGTTCTGGAACTAGAGTCGCAATGTCTCAGCAGGACAGCTGGGTGGCAAAGGTCAGGCAGATTAGAAACCATGGATTTCCTCTATCTTTAACTCCTTAGATCTAAATAGCAGTAGACTTATATACCGCTTCATAGGCCTTTCAGGCCTCTCTAAGCGGTTTACAGAGAGTCAGCATATTGCCCCCAACAATCTGGGTNGAGAGAAAGAGAGAGAGATGTTTTTGATATCTATAGAGTTTGTGAGGCTCTCATTCACTTTAGACCCTGAATAATAGACCTGGGATGTAGATTGAATGAGAATGACAGGCCAAAGTCCCCTGGTGGAGCTTCCATGGTCGAGGAGGAACTAGAACCTGGTTGTCCCCATTCCTACTCTAACACTTTGACCCCTCCCCTTTTTACCTCTATAATTCTTTCTTGAGCACCAAGTCTTTGAAACGAAAGTTAGTATATATGATTCTGTTATTACGGACATGATTCTGTGTTGGAATCAATATTGCTTTGATGAGCAATATTAAATTGAAGAGAATCCAAACATTTAATTCCCTTCATTTAATTGTTTCTCAGGCTTGGCAAGCATCCTTCTGTGAGCAGAAATTGCTTTCCTGCATGAAGCAGAGCATCTGGACCAGACCCAGTAGATTCTCCTCTCAAGGCTGAGACAGAAACATAAAAACTGGTATTCACATTCAAGGGACAATTCCAGGGTTTAAGGTCAAATCTCAGTTGAACTGATGTCACGGGAATTTGCAAAGGAGTCCAAGTAGGACAAACTGTATTGTAATGCAACATCTCTCAAATATTAAAGAAAGTAAATTCAGCTGAAATGTTCATCATTATTAAAGTTATATTTTGATCCTGAATATGAGTTGGACTTTCTGACTGTAGTATGAAAAAAGGGATACAGATAGAGTAAACCTCATTGCATTTTAGTAGTTATTTGAAATAAATCAAACCCAAATAAATAAGCCATATTCCCAAGTAAACATTCTTAAAATCAAAGCATAAAAGACCAAATATTGACAATGGAAAAAAAGGGAGAACATTTAGAGATAGTAACCGGGCAGAACTATGACAAAGCCAACCCTAAGTCTTGAAATAAATCAATCATTTGCAGCTGCCTTCTGCCCTTAACTACTCAAAAGGTGCTTTTGCAAACCCCCAGTTAAGCCTAAGGAGTTTCGTTCCACTTACACAGACGGAAATGGAGGCCCCTGTCCCCATGTTAAGTCTGAAGCAGGAGTTCTCTTAGGAGGGAAGGGCCACAGTCCAACCATGGTGTTCCTCAGCAGCTCAGCAGGGCTGGGGCTTTGCAGAAATTCATCCTTGGGAGGTAGACGTGGCAGGTGATAATGTAAACAAACAAAGGCAGTCCTTAGCAGCACCAGATTCCTGCTTAGGACACTCACTGTAGCTACTGAACCCTTGGACAAAAACTCCCTGGGATGTCAAAGCTAAGGATGTTACCATGGCATCCTGCATATACACACACATACACCAGGAAGTAATGACTTCCGGCAATGTGTTCTCTGGGCAGCAGGACACCGAGTAGGCCCTGACAGGATTAACTGGAGTGGCAAACTGGAGCCCTGGTGCATAAGAAAGGCAGAAATGACTCAATTGTCATTTTCATCTTTCCAGAGCCTTCATTCTGTGAAGAAGCAATGCACATTTTTAGATCTGTAGTTTGCTAGGGGAAGGGAATGGTTGGGGTCAGAGGAAATCTTTTGGGGCCTAACAAGAATTTCAGAGTTTGGGGAATACTCAGTCATCAGATGTTGAGTCCTTTGCAGGAGAAAAAAAAAGTCACTTTGGAGGCCATGAGGATTGGACCACTGCCAGTTCCTTGTGTGCATTGTGTGGGCATCTTTGGAAATGGATGCTTGTCTCTGACCAATTATAACATAACCACAGGCTGCGCTTGGTTATCAGGCATTATGGATGGGTAAAGGAAGCCCCTCCAGGAGCAGAGCACTCAGTGGGCAAAAGGTGTTGATTGCACACGGCTTGAGAAAGGAAAGAAAGAAGAACCTCTTCTGCTAGCCGCCCACCCATCCCTTCCTTCCTATCACGCAAACTGAAAACACCCCATGCGCCAGTTCAGTGTTGGCTCCTGGCTTGTCCCATTTTCATGCTGGCAGTCCAGGGAGCTGATTGCAGGCTCAGCCCTGACAAGGGAGCAAATTCGGGGGTGAAATCCAGCAAGCACCTGTCTACCCTAGACGAGTTCAAATCACCAGGACCGGACGGATTTTACCCCAGGGTTCTGAAGGAACTGGCAGACGAGATCTCAGANAATCAAAATAAAAATTAAAAATGTCTTATGTACTTGCTGTACCTTCAAAAATGGCTGAAATATCAGTGCAGAGTTTCTCCGGGAAAACCGCAGTTGGAAGCTGATTCAGGAATACTTTAAGGAGGCTGGCAACAGAGTTGATATCTCCTTCCTTAACAAGATCAACTTCTTCTCCTTGATCATATTTTAATCTAAGCGCCCTGATTTTGGCTGCTGATCCACTGATCCGAAACAGGCCTTTGTGATTTAGCCCTAGGAGAACATGCAACATCCTGTGTGTATAATGTTAAGGGAATACATTCTTATAGAGTTCCTAAGGATCCAAGAACAAATAGAAGAGATGGAGAAAAATTATGAAAAATATAATTATATTAAGGGGAAGAAGGAAGACCTTCCTTCTACTAATTCTGATATTTTTTTTAAAGGCAGGATGTTCTTTAGAAACATTTCCTTCTACAAATTTCTTGCATGAGACAGCAAAATGCAATACTGTGTTGCTTTCTTCTTCTTCTTCTTCTTCTTCTTCTTCTTCTTCTTCTTCTTCTTCTTCTTCTTCTTCTTCTTCTTCTTCTTCCTTTTCTTCTTCTTTCTCCTAGATAATACTGTGATCAAATCAAAACTAAATATAGTAGTTTTTGGCCACTGTGTCTTCGTTTGTCATTCTATACACAAAACCAAATTTTATTCAGCCTCCATTTCAGGTGAAGCTACCTGGCTGTAGGTATTTTTTAAATTATCATGGCCAGAGAAGAAAAATCGCATAGAGAACCTACTTGTATTCATCTTTCATGTTGTAAAGAAAAAAAAAACACAGTATCTGATGCAAAGCAAATCTTTCCACTGGAATATCATTGCAAAAACCAGCTAATAAGACTCAAACTAGCAAGCTCACTGAAAGTGTGTGCCCGACTCCAAATATGATGCGTAACAGATTTGCATATAATCTACTTTCAGATCACACATTTTTTTCCCCCAGATGAGGCTGTTCCCTTCTTTTATCCTTGATCTGTTGGTTCTTGATAGAGTTATGGAAAAGCAATGAGTCAAGATGACACTGGGGATTAGAGCTAAGGTGGAGGCTTTGCCCTGGCCATGATCAGTTGGGTGACAACTTCAGCAAATGCATCATTATGCATCAAAGGGGAATTTCCTGTATCTCCAGAATGGTTGAGGTAATGCCAACCAGCTGGCATTTACTTTGTCTAACTAACAGGGTTGTCTGTACAATTAGATGAAAAGGCTACCAGTGGTGGTGGTACAATGGTTAGAACACAGTATTGCAGGCAAACTCTGCCTATTGCCAGAAGTTCAATCCTGACTGGCTCTAGGTTGACTCAGCCTTCCATCCTTCCGAGGTCAGTAAAATGAGGGCCCAGATTGTTGGGGGAAATAGGCTGACTCTGTAAACCACTTAGAGGTAGCTGTAAAGCACTGTGAAGTGGTATATAAGTCTAAGGGCTATTACTATTCAACCTGCCCTGTGCTTCTAAAACTAGGCTGAATTCAGCTGCCACCTTATGATGTTTGTGCTTCACTGCTGTGTTGTGACAGACTGCCATGAACTGTGGGGAGAGGGAATGAAGGGGTGGGGGATACTTGGGAAAATGAAAGTAAGTGCTGTATCTCTTCAAGATGCTGCCTCAAGTTCACCCAGCTGGAAGAAGGAGGGAGCTGCATATCTAACTACATTTGGACTGACCATTATGAAAACATATTGCCTCAACCTGATTGGTCATATGGAGGTGGGCAGTGAGAGACAACTAGGGGAGGAAAGGTTGAACTTAGGGATTTTTGGCACATGGTTCTCAGTTCTGGTTTTGCATTGCTGCAATACACTTGACTTGTAATGAAACTATACTTTTCTCAACCGATGGAGCCAAGGATTGTTTCCATTTAGAGGTTTAAGTTGTAGCAGGTCTGATGCTGATGCCTACAAGTTTTTATAGGAGGAGGTAGACTTCTTTTCTATCCAGAAATGCCCTTGAGAGGACAACTTCCAGATTGTAATAATCCACATTTGATTATTAGAGTAGCTCCTTGAATTTGTTGATTCTGCTTGGTATGGGATCTGGACAGGGTTGGGATTTAATTGACAAACTCAGAACTGTCTATGGGCAGTCATTGCAAAAGAAAAGATGTCCAGAGCCACGTTTCATCAGAGACATTGAACGGACACCATTACTAGCAATATTAATCCCCAAAATACATGCCATTACCTGACCAAGTGCAAACACACTTCGTTGTGTTGAGAATGTCCATCTGAAAGGAAGAAAATGGTCACAACCAAGTGAAATCATGAGCTTACCAAACTCTTCTAAATATTCCACTGTGTGTTGGACAACTAATGGGACAGACTGGTGTGTCGTATCCTTGGTGACTATATCAAGGGGAGAACCAAAGATTCTTTGAGGCTCCGGTCCAACTTTGTTTCCACCGTGCTTCACTTTTACAGATGACAATGACTGCTGCAAAGAGACATAATTGTGCTGTTGCCCTTGCACCATAAATTTACAAAATTTCTAAAAAGTCAAGGTTATAACAACAGGGCTGTGGAACTGAGTTGTGAGCCTTGAAAATGGTTGGCCATGGATTAATGTATTATGCAACATTAACCGAAAGTAATTGAACAGGGGACATTTGTTGGTTCCACTAACTTGAGCAAAGATGTTGTGTGGCTTGCAGCATGACTTTCCCCCAGCCAATTAATATTTTAAATGAAATAACTTTACTGAGTAAGAAGTTTTCAAGTTTATAAAAACTTAATAGTTTTGCTGTACTTATTCCTGCACCCCATCCTTGGTGTAAAATGCAGGTAATTAACATCTCCTGTAGGCCTTCTATTACATTGATCTACCTTCTTGCTTGATTTGTATACATACAATTTATGACTGTGGCACACATGCAAACTTCTTGTTAATTATAATAGAAAAAGCTTTACACTTAATCAAGCATCCATTTAGGGTGGGATTAAATCAGCCTTTCCTAAGTGTTTCTTGAAAACAAAATATATTACATTTAGTGAATTGCCACAATTGACTAAACAGAGTTCCCAATTTTTTTTTAAAAAAGAAATAAGTTCTTTCCCGGAAACAATTATTTTGACACTTTTTGGATCATGCCACATTGTTGCATCCATCTTTTTAAGATCTGCCATTGTTGCTGACGCCAAATTTGTTGTTTTGTAGTTAGTTGGTTGCTTAGTTTATTCATCACTCATGTTTGCAAAGCTGCCCAGCTTCTTGGCACCTCGTTCCCACTCCTCTCTTTTGAGGACAAAAAAATATTTGCCTTGTTCCACTTACAGTTATTTCACTAAGTCTCCAGCGCTTTTTAAGGGTTTGTCCAGACCATCAAATAATACTTTAAGGGTTAGTGAGAAAGTTAGGGTACCATACATCTGGTGACATCAGAACAAAGGAAGGGATCTTCTAGTCCAGCAGAAGACCATATACCATTCTAGACAAATGGTTGTCTAGTCTCTTCTTAAAAACCTCCAGTGATGGAGCACCCACAACTTCTGAAGGCAAGCCGTTCCATTGGTTAATTGTCCTCACCGTTAGAAAGTTTCTCCTTAATTCGAAGTTGAGGTTTTTAAGAAGAGACTGGACAGCCATTTGTCTAGAATGGTATACAGTTCTAGGCTGCATAAACAGAGAGATAGAATCAAGATCATGTGAAGTGTTAATACCACTTTATAAGGCCTTGGTAAGGCAACACTTGGAATACTGAATTCAGTTTTGGTCGCCACAATGTAAAAAAGATGTGGAGACTCTAGAAAGAGTGCAGAGAAGAGCAACCAAGATGATTAGGGGACTGGAGACTAAAACATATGAAGAATGGTTGCAGGAACTGGGTATGTCTAGTTTAATGAAAAGAAGAACTATGGGAGACATGATAGCAGTGTTCCAATATCTCGGGNCCCCTGCCACACCCACCAAACCACACCCACAGAACCAGTAGTAAAAAAAAATTGAATTTCAACACTCAGCAAATTGATCTTTGTGTCTGAAGCCCAGCCAGTTGCCTGGGTGGTGTGGTACTCCATGGAGAAGACTTCCCTTCCCCCAAGAGCTGCCACAATGTGGTTCCCAGCATTTCAAGGCCTATAGAGATGAACACAAACCAGAGGTGATCATTAGCTGCCCTGCAGGGGGAGAGGAGCCAAAAGACCTAACAGGAGTGAAAGTTCCTTTTGTTGCTTTCTAATAGGGCTCAAATAGTTTTGATTTACATGAATGCACAGCTGGAAAAGGGCCAGAGACAAGCAAGGACTCATGTAAAAGTGCTTCTGTGATGGACGGTGGAGGAATTTGGGCTGCAGGCTTCATAATATGGACAGATGTTCTTTTATACACCATGTTATCCTTGCAGTAAGAATTAATTTGATGAGTATGATCAAAATAAATGCAACTGAGTAAGCTGCATTCAACTTACAATGGAAGCCCCATTTATTTCTACAGAGGATTCAATAGCTGAACGCCTCTTGCCAGTAACCCTGTTATTTACAACGAACCATAGAATCCCAGAGCTGGAAGGGACCTTGAAGGTCTTCTAGTCCAACCCCCTGCCCAATACAAGAGTCCTTGTGTCATCCCGGACAATGATTTGTATATACTTCCTCAACCAGCTAATTGGTTTATCTGCCTGGTTTTCCATTTTTTCTCTCTAGGAAGCCTATTTAATGTTAAATGAAATAAGGAACCATTTTGGGACAAGCTGGTCAGATTTAAACTGAGTCATGGAAAATTTCAAGAGTTAAACTCTTTGGAAACTTTAGAGATGGATTTTTTTCCTCTTCTTCTAATGTAATGGAGCTTTTATGTTCTTAACTAGGAGTTTTGTTACATTGCAACTTTATAAATCTTGTCTTGAATTTGTAAAATAAATAAAACCAATATTTCAGTTCTGTGGTTGGTGGTTTCTTTAATAAATTGTATTTATTCCTTGATTTTATAGTTTTCAACTGAATAATTTTTAACAGCTCCAAACGGAAGATGCAGTAACTTTTTTCTGCCACCCAGCATCTTCATTGGTATTAAATGCTACATTCTTGTCGTGCTGTTTACTTCATAGATCACAGGATCTTTTGGCAACCCACGGGATCTTTTGAAAACAGGGTCTTCGGTCACTTTCATGAGACTCAGAGTGAAGCAGCCTCTCCCTATCCAGAAACATTAAGATTCCTGAAGAGGGAAGAAGCATTGCGCCAACTTGGCCAAAATTAAGTATAAGGATTACATGTAAACGAATATAAAATACATTTGTTGCACCAGAAAATACTTAGGAAAACTGTAGTACAATACAATGTGAGTGAGAAGAGGAACCTCGCTCGGAAGACTGAATATGCCGGTTCTACAGCCAACCGTTTTGCACACTTGCCACGGCTTGCACACTCAGCCTCCTGATCAGGGAGGGGGAAGCTCATCAAGAGAAGCTCCATCTCCACAGCTGAGCTTCACTGCACCTTTAAAGTCTCTTCGTCAGTCGCAATCCGGCACTGTCATTCCTAGGCACCAGCAGAATTTCGCTAATTATGGGCAATGGCAAAGCAGAAGGCCCCGTTGTGTCGTTGGAACTTAGCCACACTAGCCAGGACTTGGTGTTTTGGCTCAAAGGTCCAAGTGTTTCAAAGAAGTATCAAAAGTGTCATAAAAACCTTTATAAATAGATGCAAAAATTACTAAAAGTTATCGGTATAAAAACAGCAGCAACTATTCCATACGGCCATTTACACTCTGGAGGCAGCTGTGGAGGAGTAAGTGTTTGGGGTTTGGTCCGATGGTAGGGTTCGTCCCACGCCAACAGGGAAGCACGGCCACCAGGAGGAGAAGTCCTCCAAAGAGCACACACAGGCCACTGAAGTAGAAAGCCATGTCGTAAGAGGCAGTCCAGTCATAAAACCAACCTGAAAGAGAACAGAGAGAGATGCCAAAAACAGATCCAAGCCCTCTTATCTCACAGCCATTAAAGAAGATCTCCTTTTCCATAAAAATGTCATACCAGAGCATGATTGCTCAGGAAGCTGCCAATCAAGGGTGCCAGCACTTTGAAACTGAGCCACTGACAATGTTATGGCCCTCCAGCAGCCAGTGGAGCTGGTGGCAGACTCAGACAGCAAGGAGGTTGGGGAGGAAGATGGGCCAGTCCTGGAGTCTGGGGAAGGCTCTGATGAGGGCTCTGCATCGAAGGCAGAGAGGGGGCCAGGGCCGTCTGACAGTTATCAGCTGCCTTCAGAGTTGGAGATCAGTGGGGCAGAAGAACAGCTGGAGCCTGTTCCCAGTGTGTGCATGCGCAGAGCTGTCAGGAGAAGGGAACAGTTAAGGAACAACAGCTGACTTGGGAGTAAAGGCACAGATGGATGGTGAATGGCCCCTCCCATAGGGAATAAAGAGGAGTGAAAGGGGAGGGGAGTTTGCAGGAGACCACTAGTTCAATTCAGATCTGTTCCTGACTTCTTGCCAAGTAATTACTGCTACAGCTTGGCGCTTGTAAGATATCGGCTTGGCAACTCTCCAAGCCAGATAAAGGTCTGTAGTTGTGAAATCTCTTGAAAGACTCTTGGCTGGGACTTTGCTGGAGAGGAATTCACTTTAAACTAAATAAAAGAGGTTTTATCGGGATGAAGAGTCTGCTTCATGATCTTGGGAGTCCTAGGTCAGAACAGACAAGCCACAATTGCAACCAATGGCGCTATCTTTCCAGCTGTTGTATCACAGAGGAAAGGATTACTGTATGGAGAACAAACAAGGACACGAGTTTTTAAGGATACTGAGAATATACCACTCTATTTTTCCAATGTAATTGAATAATGCTACATCTCCACTAGCTGTCATACCTGCAAGCTATCTTTTCTTTTGGACTTCAGGCCTGTCACACATTCTACTGTCTACTTTCTATTGTGGGGAAATGGGATTATACGGAGTTGGGTGGTATTAGCCATAATAACATTCTCCTTAGAAACTCAAGGTCATCTTTGTCTCTACACCTGGCCGGAAGTGTATGAGAGGAATCTGTCTTTGTGGCAGTGGAAGATTGGGCCATGTGATGAACTTGTGGGTGTGGGGGATCAGTTGATCTCAAACTTTCAACTGAGTGGAGAAAACCAGGAAACTTTCAGATTCGGGTTTTCCCAGATGTGCCAACATGGCTCTTTTAATAAAATGGAACTTTGAGGAATCCTTTGCCTCAGACTCTGATTTTATTTTGGATGCTATTTGGAACCCTGACACTAGCAGGTTCTGTAGATGGAGGCCATTTTTGAAAAGAAGGAATGGCATCTGGCTGAAATGCCTACTTACCTACAACTGGGGGTCCAAGGCTGTTTCCAAGCCCAGCAAAAAACATCAGTATGCCGTAGGCGTGGGTCAGTTTCTCAATCCCCACCATCTGGGTTGTGACATAAGGGAAAATCGACCAGTTTCCCGCCAGGAAACCTAAAACCCCTGAAAGCGTGGCCAGAGCACTGTAGCTTTGGGCGAAAGGGATTAAGACCAGGGCCGCCGCCGT